CCAACTCGGGACTTCCCAAACGGGCTTCAATCTCTGGTCCTGTGACCTGTGCTATGCACAGCCCACAGATTACAGCCACCCGGAATCCCTTTTACCGGTGCTCTAGGCACCAGATCACTAAATCATTCATAGGCCAACCTAAATAGAGATCATCATCTGACATATTCCGTTTTCGCTATTTTCGAAAGCGTCTTCCCTGGGATTTGAACCTTGAGGAATATACCATTACCATTTGGAGAGGGTGATGACTAGACTACTTCACTAAGGCACCACACCTCTGCAAACTAAATTTAGAGTAGAACTAAATTAAAAAATATTATATAATTTTTTAGAACTTTTCTAGACTATACTATTATTAGGATATTTTCTTTTTGTTTTTCTTTTGTTTTTTCTTTTTCAAAATCTATTTTTTTTCTTTTGTTTTGTGTTTTCTTTGTTTTGTTTTGATTGTTTTTGTTATGATTGTTTTTAAATTTATTTCCTTTTGTCTTATGCTCTTTAAGAAGAAGAAAGAATTAGGAGAAAAATAATTGATCCTAATATAGTAGATTTTTAAATGGAAGTAACACTTTATATGGAACATTAGTGCAATAACCGTACTTGGACACTTTAAAAAGCAGCCGGGTATATGTCTAATGTAGTATTATAATAGCTTTCTAGCAAGAGTTTTATAATAAATTAGTATGTAGTTATTAAAGTGAAAAAAAAAAATTATTTTGGGTAATTATAAAGTGGCAATTTCAACTCAAGTCTAATCTTTAATCATGAAAAGATTCTTTGCAAAATTCACTATCTCAAATAAAAACTATATTTTTTTATTATAATAGTCTTCAATTCTTGCTTGACTTCTTTAAACAAAGTGATACTTTTTTGATCTTCCTATATTAAAAGAAAAAAAAAAACATATTTAGTTTCAAATTAATCTTTGATCTACTAATTAAAAAGGTATCTTATAGCAAATGTTTGAAAGCCGCAACTAAAATGCCCATGTGTTACTAATAAGTTTTGTAGCATGCTTCTTTTGCTACTATTAATAAAATAAATCTGAACTTATTTTACAGTATTTGAAAAAAAATCTTACTATTTACAATGAAAAATTGCCATTTTTCGACTTATTTTTATTTTATAAAGAGACAAGTAATACAAGCATTTCTAGTATTAAATGAAAGTTTAAAACTCGAAAAATAAAACTTGTCTAAGGTTCAAATAGTATATACTATTGAATAATTGAAGCATTTGAAAAAAAAGTCTGGTCGATTTACGTTACACAAAAATGATTACTAATAAGATCATCAGAGGACGACATGTCCTATGACTGGTATACTAAATTAATAGTTATATTTAATAATACCAAATAATTAACACTGTATCTTAAAAAAAAATTAACAGAATTGTATATTTTTAAAATATGTCGATATACAAAGATTTTAAATTAAAATAATAAGCACTTGAAAACGTGCAAAAAACCAGTAATTATCTAGTTTATGCCCAACGATAGAACCAAAGTTGCCAATCATATAATCATATAATTGCATACAACTGCATAAATACATGCAAGCGTAACAAATGGATGACTACTTTTGGCTGTTATCTCCATGTTCACCTGTGCAAACAAAGAAAAGGCGGGGAAATAAGCAGTGGCTACGAACATTTAATAACGTATAAGCAGCAGAAAACATATGAAACTGCGTCATTATATGCGAATACCAGATTTATACTAGAATCAAAGTATGAATGAGTGATTATGCGAACAAGTAATAGAAAATTGATTTTTGGCTTAGATTATTACATTACCCCGTTATCGTTATTACTCCATGATTTTACCAATTTATCCCTGTTTTCTTTAGCTTGAAACAGTTTAGAACATGACCGTGTGACTCTTTGTCTTAAATTACTAAGAATACCCGCCATTTTCCTTCCCACCGTATGTATTTATGATAAAGAGTGTATTTCGAGTAATTTATATCATATTTACGTGTTGCTTCGACTGTATAATTCCGAGTTCAAATTATTCTCATAATGGTGATGCAGCCTTACCATCATTAATTAAAAGTTTATATTTTTCTCACTTAGTAAAAACCAAGAGAAAAAAAGAGAATATCTATATAAATCTATATACCTTCGTATATTGCTCAATTGACGTTTTATTTGTTCCTGTTCATATATTATATCATAATTTCCTAATTATGTTTCATAACAAGGTGTCCCTGCATTGTTTAAATAGATCAAATCAAAAAATATTAAAATCACAAGAGGATCTCTAATTTACAATTTACTCAAACTAAACTTGAAATCCTTTTTTTTTTTTTTTTTTTTTTTAGTACGTCTCGTTTTCGTCGGTCCCAGTATATAACATGTTATACACAATTGTAACGGTTGCATAATAATTTGGGCAGGGAACCACCTGTGTATGCTAACAACATATTAACGATAAACGTGTATTCTTTATTCTTTTTGTCTTTTATCTAGCCTTTTTTTTTTTTTTTTAGATTATTTAAATTTAAGTTAAAAAGCCACTTTTCCTTTTGAAATTATTTCATTAAAAAGAAAAGCATGCAGGATTCTGCATTTTATGGTGTATTAACCGATTCTTCAAAAATTAATAAAGGAGTAAAATTAATTATAAATTCGGTAATTTTTTTTTTTATCTAAGTTTAATATGTGGGGTCATGCATTTTAATCGTCGTTAAGGTTATGAATGAACAGGAAAGTGAGAACACTAGAAAAACTTGATCGAACTTGTACTTCCATGATTCTGCAACTCACATGTGCAATCATAATCTGAGAGATTTTATAAAAATATTTTTAGCCAACGAAAACGAGAGTTCTGTTATTAATCCATCACATGCTCGATTAATTTAATTTTCCCAGTTGAAACTTACCGAAAATATTATTATTGAACAAATCATATTCTGATTTTTTTTTTCATCTATGCCTTTTGATCAAGAAATTATTATGCATCTTCATTATATGCTTGCCACTTCGCCATTTATACATGTAAATATAATGATATTAGTTCCTGTTACATTCTGATCGTCGCCTGACCTCCAAACAAATCCCCACAAAAAAAATTTATTACGATTTATCTTATATCTTATATACTGCTTGTTATTGATAAAATAAAAACGTATATAAAAACCCCCCATTATCTGAATTTCAGGAAAAGAAAATATTTGTATTATTTTTAAAATCAATCAATTAAAAAACTATGTATAATTTCGCTTCTTTTCAAGCATCTGTTCAAAATAAATTACAAAATGAGGACAAAAAAGATAACCAACTTCAAAAATCAAAGGTTCTTGTAAAAAAATCAGTTGTTTGTTCTTCCAGCGATAGTTGGAAATTACTTGATCATGCCGTATTATTAACTTCTCAAGCGACTGTCTTAACCGCAAATTTTCTCACTCACCATCTATCCGGTCCTCGTAAACCTTCTTGGCCAATACAACTTACTTTAATTTGTGCTGCCATGAGAGCCTTAACCGAGCATACACATTTGGCTGATGTTGATAAATTGAGAATGTTCACTAGCATCCCTTTTACCTTTACTTCATCGGATATCATTGTTACACCTGTATCATTTAGAGTATTAAATAGAGGATTACCTGGAATATTAAAGGATTTAGAAGATTGTGAAACAGGAAATCGAGAAATTAGTGCTGAATGGGTTGTACCTAAAGGAGTGTGGAGAAAAATTAATGATGAATATCATTTATCAGCAGCTCATCACAAGCATATATATATCGATCCAGATGGTATTAAATGGTCAAAGGAAAAAGTAATTTTATATTTACACGGTGGTGCTTATTATCTTATGTCGGCTAAGACTCATAGAGATTTGAACTACCGTTTATCGAAAGTAACTGGAAGGAGAGTTTTTGGTATGTATACGTTAATTCATTTTATCAATATATGCTATTTGATTGGCTCCCTAGTTTTTTACAGGTTGTCATGTGTTGATCTACCTATAATTATCTAATTTCAACGATTAGCAATAAATTATCGATTAGCACCAGAAAGTCCTTTTCCCTGTGGTCTTCATGATGCTGTTCATGCTTTTCTCTATTTAATTGACCCCAATGGTTTGGCTATTCAACCACATAACATTGTTGTTGCGGGTGACAGTGCCGGCGGTGGCTTAGGCGAGCTTTTATTCTTTTCCTTTCATATAAGCTCATAGGAATCATTACGTTTGTCTGATTTATTATTGATAATAATAGCTTTGGCATTACTTTATTATCTTCGTGACAATCAAATGTCATTACCAGGTGGTGCGGTCTTATTTTCTGTAAGCCTTCTTTATTTCGGTTCATCCGGTTTTATACATTATATCAACATGTCATGTTTACTCATTTATCATCTACTTTTCTTATCTAGCCTTGGGTAGACTTGACAATGTCATGCGCAAGCTGGGATCAAAATCAACCTTACGACTATTTATTCAAACAAAAAGATGATGATCCACTACACCCTGTAAATCTTTATTTAAAACCTGAGGAACGTTCAAAATTGATTAAACATCCTTATGTATCTCCGTTATTCGGTGATTTAAATAATTTACCCCCGTTATTAATACAATGTGGTGATAGTGAAGTATTAAGAGATGAAATTAATGAATTGGTTAAAAAAGCTTCCGATACTAGTACTACATTCGTACAACACGAAGTTTATGAGGGTTTGTACGCTTAAATAATTTTTTTTTTATAATGACATATATTAGCATATATTAACACTATTGGCACATTTATTTTTAATATTTTTTATTTCATGAAGATATGGTCCACGTGTTTCAAATGTTCAACTTTTTAGAACCGGCAATAAAAGCAATGGACTCGGTTGGTTATTTTGTAAGAAATGTAATACCAATTCACCAACGAAACACCTTAATATCACATAATAGATATTGCACAAATGAGTGCACTACAGTTGGAACTCTTAAACACAGTATAGCTCGATTTCGGTGAGCTGTACTCTCACATTTAAAAACATGATGGCTCGTGTACTTGTACCAATTAGTACTAATTTTGATGTTTGAAAGCATTTTTACCAATCCTCATACTTTGTGATTTAATTTCCACTACCTGAATATATCAAAATGACTTTTTTCTCATTATAAATAGCAAAGCAATTTATTCTTGTAGCTTTAAGCTTGAAATATTAAAAATAAACAACGATTAATATTCGAATTGGAGTTATATAAACATCCATCAGACACTTTCTTACCATTTTTTTGAGGCTACCATTGATTAAAAACGGTGAGCTATTTTATTTATTTATTATTCTGTACTGATTAATGTTTTAGGATCTTGGTGCACATGTAGGATCCCCCTTTTAAAGAGAAATCATGGATACCTATAGAGAATTCAAATTGAATTTGTCAATTTTTTTTACAATTCAAAGTTGATGAATTTTTTTTTTAGCATTACGTTTACTTGAAATGCTATATTTTATACATTATTTAATTAATAATTAAATAAAGTAGGTTCTCGATATTTTGCCAGATTTAATTATCAAACGAATGTACTTTCTATTAATAACATATAGTGCTGGTGATGTTACTTTCGGTTTCTCTGTTACGATACACGTGAAAAAAAACGAATTGATTCCCGATTGACGAAATCGTTTCAACACTAATCGGAATTTATTAACATTTCATAATCATCATGTGACCAACCCGAATTTCAAGCTTATAGAATTCGTTTAAGTACATTTTTGATTCCATTGTTTTCTAGCTCTACCATTCAAAGCTAGACAAATAATTTAAGGTATCCGATAATCAATAAATCAAATGAATGTATGAATGAATGTATGTACGAATAACGATAAATTGGTAAGAAATATCTATTTTTGAGTCAATAGCTTATAGTATGAACCGTAAATAATTGTAAATGGTCATATAAAACGACCGGGTATGTTATTTTTCGTGGGTAAAAAAGCTATACCCATGGATAGCATTGTAAATTCTAAACGTCCCGATTTTTTGGCCTTGCCGTGCCCTGGGACGTCCCAATTTTTGACTTATAAAGTTAATATTTTTATTTATATATGTAAATTTACATTTATTTGTAAAATTTTGAGCTATTGTCATTTTTTTTTCAGTTATTATCATAACTCTTGGGTAACTGAAAAAATTGCCGATGACTTTGACCGAATCAGTAATTTTTTAGTTGACCCGAAATTTATGATAATAGCTGTAAAACTTCCGGCCGGGTATAGTAATTTGAATTATTTTCAGTAATTGAATGACCTGCGTCTTTACAGCTATCATCATAATTCCTGGGACACCTAATAAAAATTGGCCGAACGATTTTTCTCCCGATTCGGTTAAGTTTGTGAATTCGAAATAATAGATTCGATAAATTGATATATGTGAGTGACCGCTAAGGGATAAATTATTATCGGATTTTCAATTATATTTTGTGCCGGGACACAAAGTAAAATATAATTGAAAGCCCGATAACAAGTTTTCCCTTGACGACATTCATATACGTAGTTTATAGCTGTTTTCATAAAGGTGTAAACAGGTGCAAACCATTATATCATGGGGAGACTACATGATTTCCCTGATTTCTTTGATTCTGCGAATACGGGAAATCAAAGAGAAGAAATCGAGGAAATCAAGGATTTCCCTGACTTGCACCTGGTTACACCTTTTTGAAAATAGCTGTAAAATCAGGTTACTTTAAAGCATCTTTGCTGGCATGGATTAAGTCTATTAGGGATGACCTTTTCATTTGACACTTGGGTGTGACCAATCATTTGAAGTGACAAATAAGTATTTAAAATATGTTTTATATAGTAAATGTGACGGATTAGATGAAGCCATCAATAAATAAAAATTTTCGAGGTGCATTTTTTAGGGTTATTAGGTAGTCCCTTAACTTTCACAACTTATATCAATGAATTTTGAGGTTATCTTAATAAATTAATATTCTAGACTTTCTTTTGATCAAGATAACCTCAAAATTCATCGAGGTATAAGTTGTGAAAGTTAAGGGATTAATTTTTTTTAAAATGTTAATCTGCTTGATTTCTATTGACGCCAGCCCAAGTATAAGTGGGTTTTAAATAGAAACCACGCCCTAGAGCTAAATGAAAGAGGTCACCTATAATAGACTTAATTCAAATTTTCGCATAAATTAAACACGCCAAAGATGTTGGACGAACGTTTGAACTAAAATTAATAATGTTGACACCCATTATTATAAGATCATGCCGAATTCATAAACTTGATCGAACCGGGCAAAAATCATTCGGCCAAATTTTTATCAGGTGTCCCAGAAAATTTTGATTATAGCTGTAAATTTTTAACTTTGTATAAATCCGGGTATACGTATCATGGGGGTATCACCGCTTATACGAAGTATTTATACATATATATACATATATATATATATATCGTTCAATTTTATCATTTATTTATGATCTACAAAAGATATGTGTCGTCAAGTGAAATCAGTAAATATACGGTATAGTCTATATATAATTTATACAGTTGACTTCATAGGCAGAAGGACTTCACTATTAAAATAATCAAAATTCTGTTTTAGAGAAGTTAGCACGGTGATAACCTAGTCGTTATTATGCTAACTTCTCTAAAACAAAAAAGAATTTTGATTATTTTTAATAGTGGAGTTCTGCAACCCTAATAAAACTTTCTATATACTTCTTTTTTTGTTTATTCTTCGTAGTTTTCTTTTTTTTTTAAAAAGCACTTTAAACTGTATAAATAATGTAAAATTAACTGCCAATCATACGAATGTCTGCCTATGACAGTTGACTCCCTTGGCGACTCACGTATATTATTATCTTTAAATACTGTATATAGAATAGATAGTATAATTACTTTGCAATTACGTAACTCTTAAAATTATAATAAAGGAATTTAGATAATTCTGATTACTCAATATGGATCTAGCCAAATAAAATATTAGATCATACGATAAATCTCAAGAAAATAGCATTAGCATAAAGTCCCTTTTATTATTTATATATACTGATATTTTAATAATTTGTTGATATATACTGTATACTAATATATTTTTAAATATGTTTTAAGTAGATTCTACTGTATACTGTATATTTACTGGTTTTTATATTAAAAAAGAAATAATTTATTCATTACTCGCCACTCCTCAAAATTATACAAGAAATCTTTTTTATTACGTAAAATAAAGTTATTTGTTATATAAATAAATAATTTATATAACAGTAGTTTATGGTATACTGTATATTACTAATTTTACCACAAATAAATTAGAGTTTAAGAAAAAAAATTTAAAATAAATACAAGTCACTCTCGTTATAATGAAGATTAGTTTATAGTGAAGAATTTTTTTAGAACAAAAACATTATTAATAAATTTTCATTCGATATAATCAAGTTAATTAGTGTAAGATATATGGAGATTTTTCTAAAACAAATATAACAAAATGTCTTGCGTTATAATGAAGATTTAATCATGTAACATGTGTTGGCCAATAAAATTAATGAAATAGTTGTCATATTCAACTGTTACTTTGTGTAACTTTTGTTAATTAGATTTTTGGGTATATAAATTAATTATAGAAGATTTATCTATTTTATTATAAGAAATTTTTATAGCCCAAATACTTCACTTTAATAAAAGTGACTTGTATTTATTTTATTAAAAATTATTTATAATTATACTATTATTTTTTTTTTATATATTAAGCAATCCTGCCTTTATTCATGTGAACTACTATATGACTATTATACAAAATTGTACTATATTTTTATAGTGTATTGTTCTAATTTAATAAAGACTCACCAGATATTTACCCAATGTAACCTGCTATATCAACTACAGTATTAGTCTTACTCGGGATTTGAAACTTGTTTCAGATTTTGTATTTTACAAAGGATATCTTCTTGATCATTTGACAGGCTGTTGTATACTGTATTAGAATTTTTTTTTTCTTTTCTAATTTTTTTTTTTTCTCAAAAGGCATAAGACAAAAGAAGAAAATTTTTAACAAGGATTTATGAAAACAACCAGAAAAAGAAAAAACAGGAAAAAAAAAAAACACTAATTGTGAAAAAGAAAAAAATATAAAAAGAAATCTAAAACTCTGAAGGCACTATTATAACCTATGCATAGTTAATAAAAATTATATAACAAATGCAATATTTGTATATCTCTTCTATAAAGCTTTACTTTAATATCAAATCTACTTTCTAATTTTTTACTAATTTCAAATAGCTTTGATATCTATTCTAATTCATATCTTGAGCCAGGTGTTGCTATTATCTAAAGACTTGTGTCTTAAACCATCTGCTGTTATAATTAGAGTTTCTAGGCCAAGTTTCATGAAATAGTATTATATTCATCTATAAACAAACATGTAGTTATATTCTGCTAGTCTGTTTGAATTTGAGAAGTAAACAATGCTGATCTTTTGATGAGAATAAGCCAAATCTTTTACTTTTTATGAAAATTTTGAAAAACTAATGAAAAGATAAAAAAAAAAGAAAAAAAAACTACTTGAATGAATAAAAGAAGTGTAGCTTAAAAAAAATATGTAATCTGTTGTACCTCTGGGTTTTGAAAAAAAACTTTGTAGTTTTGTTAACAGAACTTTTGTTCTACTAAAATTTGCTATAGTAAAGAGTGCTATTTGCTTTTTCCTCCTTCATATATTTTGTTTTTAGCTTGTATGCTGAATATAGAACAGAGTTTCCAAACTAGGTTAATTTTTATTTCTTTAAAAACTACCACTAAAGTCTTTTTAGAATTATAGTTTATAGTAGTATTAGGCTATGACTTTTTATGATCTATATAACTTATATGACTTATGACAATATAACTAGTTATATAAGCAAAGTATATAACTTTATAATCTTATAATCTAAACTTAATTAAGCCAGTATTATAAAATCAGCTCAAATTAACAAGTTGCTAATAATTAAAATCGATTTTTAGTCAATTACAGATACAGTAGTT